TTCGAGGCTTCAGAGGACTCAAAGAGCGGCGAGAAAAGTACGACGTGGGACACAGAAGCGAGGCCTGCCCTCCTTCTCCTTCAGGGTCTTCCTCCTCCTCCTCCTCCTCCTCTCCATTTGGAAATCCCCAAATGGAGAGGAGGACGAAGACCCCAGAGGAGAAGGGCAAGGGCAAGCCTCACTGCTACCCCACGCTCCTCTCGCTGCTTTTCGAGGCTTCCAGCAGCAGCAAAGGCCTCAAAGGGCGGTGAGAAGAGGGTGCACGGGGGGCTGCACCAGCGACGCTTGCCCTCCTCCTTCTCCTTCAGATTCTTTCTCCTCCTCCTCCTTCTCTCCATTTGGAGATCCTCAAACGGAGAGGAGGAGGAGGAAGACCCCAGAGGAGAAGGGCAAGGGCAAGGCTCGCTACTACCCTACGCTCCTCTCGCAGCTTTTTGAGGCTTCCAGCAGCAGCGGAGGCCTCAAAGGGCAGCGAGAAGAGGGTGCACAGGGGGCAGCATCAGCGAGGCTTGCCCTCCTCCTTCTCCTCCAGGGTATTCCTCACCCTCCTCTCCATTATTGATAGTGATGTTGTTTAATGTTGTTGTGATATTGCTTGTGTTGTAAATTGTACCTGATTTTACATGTTGTACACCGCCGTGAGTCGCCCTAGGGCTGAGAACGGCGGTCTACAAGTGCAGTAAATAAATAAATAAATAAATAAATTTGGAGATCCCCAAATGGAGAGGAGGAGGAGGAAGACCCCAGAGGAGGAGGTCGAAGGCAAGCCTTGCTGCTACCCCACACTCCTCTCACCACTTTTCGAGGCTTCCAGCAGCAGCGGAAGCCTCGAAGGGCAGCAAGAAGAGGGTGCACGGGGGACAGCACCACTGGGATTGTGGCGCAGCTGGCTGAGTGTCAGCTGCATTAAGATCACTCTGACCAAAAGGTCATGAGTTCGAAGCCAGCCCGGGTTGGAGTGGGTTTCCAACCAATTGTGTAGCCTGTTGCAACCCGAAAGACAGTTGCATCTGTCAAGTAGGAAAATTAGGTACCACCTTAAAATGTGGGGAGGCTAAATTAACTAATTTATGAGGCCATAAAAAAGACTCCAACAAAGCACTCCAGCAAAAAGCATGCGGAGAATGCGGAAGTACTTCATCAGTGTCACAGATGGACGATGAAAGCGACAGCTCCCCTGGCGGCCAGAAAAAGTTAATAGCCTCTGTGTATGTCTGTATATGTTGTATGTTAAAATTGGCATTGAATGTTTGCCATATATGTGTACACTGTAATCCGCCCTGACTCCCCTGCGGGGTGAGAAGGGTGGAATATAAAAGCTGTAAATAAATAAATAAATAAATTGCCCTCCTACTTTCTTCCAGGGTCTTCCTCCTCCTCCTCTCCATTTGGAGATCCCCAAACAGGGAGGAGGAGGAGGAAGACCCCAGAGGAGAAGGGCAAGGGCAATGGAAAGGCAGAATACCAAGAGGGTGCAATGCTCGATGTGTCCACTGGGGGGCGGCAAAGGACACCACACACTAGCAGCCTTTAAGAAAGGTCTAAAAACTTGGCTTTTCCTGATGAGCCTTTGGAGAGTCACCATGTATTCCATTCCTGTTGTTTTTCATCCACACTGTTTTCTTCATATTGCACTTCCCCCCACCTTATTGAAAGTCTAACTCCACTCTTCCCTCACAAATATACCTTTTTCATTGCTCTCTCATCCAGAGATTTATCATTTTATGTTGTGCCATTTGGCCCACCAACTGTGTTTGATTTTCCGTTATGTTATTTTGAACTGTTTATTTTACTTAAATGGCTTATTTATTTTATTGTGATGTTATTTTTGTTGTTTATATTTTATTCTGCTGTAATGTATTTCTCATGTAAGCCACTCCAAGTCCCCTTTGGGGAGATGGTGATGGGGTATAAATAAAGATTATTATTATTATTATTATTATTACACATAATGGCAGGAGACACCAAAGGCCCTCCCTCCAATGACATTGCAGGTTATAGCAAGCGCCACGAACACATCCAAGAGCTCTACCAAAGTCCCCCACAAACGGCATACTGTCCACCACTCAAAAGAAGGCTTTCATACGGGAACAATTCCATCCTAGATTTTATGTGTTCCCTCCACCACAGACATTCCAGTGTCCTGAAATGTATAATTAACCTGCAATCAAAGAGCACTCTGAACTTCACCAATGAGGGACCTGGAGCTAACGGCATACAGAAGCCCCATGACCAATAAAAAATACTAGAGGTCTTTGGAGGAATTCATAGGAGTTGCAGTTCACTAACATTCAAAGCACACAATGAACCCAAACAATGATGGATCTGGACCAAACTTGGCATGCATACCCGATATGCCCAAATTTGAATACTGGATGGTTTTGAGGGGAATTGGCCTCGACATTTTGGAGTTGTAGGTATTGGGATTTATAGTTCACCTGCAATCAATGAGTAATCTGAACTCCACCAAAGATGGAACTGGACCAAACTTGGCACACAAAGCCTCCATAACCAGTAAAAAAAAAAAAACTACTGCAAGACTTTGGGGAAAATTCAGCCTGATTTGGGGGAGTTGTAGTTCACATACATCCAGAGAGCACTGTGAACCCAAATACCGATGGATCTCGAACAAACTTAGCACACATTCCTGATATGCCGAAATTTGATTACTGGAGGGATTTGGGGGGAAGTGACCTTCCCTTCTGGGAGTTGTAGTTCACCCACAACCAGGGAAACTGTGACCTCCACCAATGATGTACTTGGACCAAACTTGGCACACAGAACCCCCATGACTAACTCAACCTACCGGAGTTAGTCACCATAGTGGAAGCTGTAGTTTACCCTACAGCTAGAGAGCACATTGAACCCCACCAATGACACATCTAAAGCAAATTTCCCCAAACTTTAAGTACTGATGGAGTTTTTTTGGGGTGAACCTGGCATGATGTGAGTTGTAGTTCACCCACAACCTTATGCATTTTGTTCAATTAAAAATTGATTTTTCAAATAACTCGGGCAACGCTGGTCACCCAAGTTAGTGGAACAATAAAAAAAAGAAATATGAACTTTAAAATGGTAGAAGCACAAAGTGAAGAGGCAGAAGCATCCTATTCTTCTTCCTACTATCCTCATTCCAGCCTCCCTCCCTCTCTTGCTCTCTCTCTCTCTCCCTCTCTCTCTTCATGAAGCCAAACAAACCAGGAATAAAAACCACACACAATCAACTAACCCAAAGTTCCTCCAAGCAGACAAGAATAAAGCAGACAGCAATCTCCCAAAGCAGACAAGCACATGAGGCCCAAGATCACTCCTTTGAATTTCTCGTTTAATTCTATTTTAATGTCTGCATGTTTTTAGGTTGGAAATTGTATTGTGTGTGTTTCATTGCAAGCTGCTTTGAGTCTCTCCTTGGTACTATGCACCTTCATTGACCTTGCAAAGTCATTTGACACAGTGAATCGCAGTGCTCTCTGGACGATCATCCAAAAAATCCGATGCCCTGACAAATTTGTGAACATTCTGTGGCTCCTCCATGATGACATGATGGCAACAGTCTTGGACAGCAATGGCTCCCAAAGTGACCCATTTAAGATGGGATCAAGAGTCAAAAAGGGATGTGTTATTGTGGAAATCATTTATCAGACAGATGGCAAACTATTTAACCTCGGCAGACTGAAAGCCAAAACCAAGGCCACAACATCTGTTAGAGAACTCCAATATGCTGATGATAACGTAGTCTGTACACATTCAAGAGAAGACCTATAAGCCAGTCTAAGCCCCTTTGCAGAAGCATACGAGAAGCTTGGTCTCTCATTAAACATCAAGAAAACCAAAGTGCTCTTCCAGCAGGCACCAGCCAATCCCTCTGCAATGCCAGAAATACAGCTTAATGGTGTAACATTAGAAAATGTTGAACATTTCTGCTCCTTTGGCAGCCACCTCTCCACAAATGTCAACATTGACATTGAAATACAACACTGCCTGAGCTCTGCAAGTGAAGCATTTTTCCAAATGAAGCAGAGAGTGTTTGAGAATTGGGACACCCGTAGGGAGACCAAGGTGCTTGTTGATAAAGCCACTGTCCTCCCAACCCTGTTATATGCCTGCGAAACATGGACTGTCTACAGATGTCAAACACATCTCCTGCAACAATTCCATCAGCATTGCCTCCGGAAAACCCTGCAAATCTCTTGGGTAGACAAGCGGACAAACATCAGCGTGCTGGAAGAAGCAAAGACCACCAGCATTGAAGCGATGGTCCTCCGCCATCAACTCCGCTGGACTGACCACGTTGTCCGGATGCCTGACCACCGTCTCCCAAAGCAGTTGCTCTACTCTGAACTCAAGAACGGAAAACGGAATCTTGGAGGACAGGAAAAGAGATTGAAAGATGGGCCTCAAGCTAACCTTAAAAACTGTGGCTTAGACACTGAGAACTGGGAAGCCCTGGCCCTTGAGTGCTCTAACTGGAGGTCAGCTGTGACCAGCAGTGCTGTGGAATTCAGAGAGGCACAAACTGAGGGTGAAAGGGAGAAATGTGCCAAGAGGAAGAAGGCGTGTCAAGCCAACCCTGACCAGGACCGCCTTCCTCCTGGAAACCTATGTCCTCTCTGTGGAAGAACATGCGGGTAAAGAATAGGGCTGCACAGTCACCTACGCATCTGCCGCCAAGACACTGCACTTGGAAGGCCATCAGACTCGGACAAGAGGAGATCACCTAAAAGAGGTACTTTACAGAACAAGAAGCCCGCGTCTTAACTTTCAGCAACTGCATCGATTAAAAGGAGGTCATCAAGGAGAATGTTGGAGGAGAATGTTGGAGTCTCTCTTAGCTCTATGGTTCTACCAGTTGTAGCCTATAACTCAGGATCTTGGCCCTTGTCTACATGTGCAGAGTAAAAACACAACTTTGAACAGAATACTCGCCAACAAAGCTAGACAGACCAACCAGTAAAAAAAACCCCAAAATTTTGGGGTGCCTCCAGGATCTTAGTACGTACCTCCTGTAAGATATCTGTTGGCTTTGCTTTCGTCAGTGGTTTGGCAGGCACTGGAGCCCGGTCCTCGTCTGAATCAGAGTCTTCCAGCAACCGCCTGCTCTGTGCTTGCTCCAGCATCTCTCTGGTCATGAGAGAGCAGAAGAAAAGCGTTAAGATGCAACACTGCAGATGGGTGGAGGAGCGATTTGGCCCTCCCAAGGAAGGGTGAGAATAATATGGGAAAGTTCTGTAAATAAATTCCATGTCCTCCTCTCCTTGCACTGACAAATTCCAAAATAAATAAATAAATAAACAACATGATGCTTGGATTCCCACTATTTTCCTGTTCCTCACATCTCTACAGCTTATAAATGATCTTGAATACATAGAATAGATAGGGATAATAAATCATAAATGTATTTTGAATCAGTTTGGAAATTTTTTTCAAGCAACATCTCTCCTCTTCTGAGAAAGAATCCAGAGGGAAATAGATTCTCATGGCAGACATATCAGTTGAGGCATTGAGGAAGAGGGGAGCATACAGCCCAAGTGGGACGCTGGAGTTGGGAGGCAAAAGGGGGGGGGGGAGAGAAGAGGACAAACCCAGTCTAGACTCTAGGCCTCCCAACAGGATGAGGAAGGAAGATGGAGAGAGAGACTCCCCCCACGTTTCCAAGATGGGAAGGGAAGGAAAGGAAAGGAGAAAGGAAAGAGGAAAGGAAAATAAAAGAGAAAGTAAAGAAGACAGAAAAGGAAAAGGAGAAAAGAAAGTAAGGGAAAGGAAAGGAGGCAGGAAAGGAAAGGAAAGGAAAAGAGAAAGAAAAGAAGAAAGGGAAGGGAAAGGAAAAGAGAAAAGAAAGTAACAGAAAGGAAAGAAGAAAGTAAAGTAACAGAATGGAAAGTAAAGCAAAACAAAAGAAAGGAAAGAAGGAAAGGAAAGGAAAGGAGGCAGGAAAGGAAAAGAGAAAGAAAAGAAGAAAGGAATGGAAAGGAAAAGAGAAAAGAAAGTAACAGAAAGGAAAGAAGAAAGGAAAGTAACAGAATGGACAGCAAAGTAAACCAAAAGAAAGGAAAGAAGGAAAGGAAAGGAGGCAGGAAAGGAAAAGAGAAAGAAAAGAAGAAAGGAAGGGATGGGAAAGTAATTGAAAGGAAAGGAAAGGAGGTAGGAAAGGAAAAGAGAAAGAAGAAAGAAAGGGAAAGGAAAAGAGAAAAGAAAGTAACAGAAAGGAAAGAAGAAAGGAAAGGAAAGTAACAGAATGGAAAGCAAAGTAAAACAAAAGGAAGGAAAGAAGGAAAGGAAAGGAAAGGAGAAAGGAAAGTAAAAGAATGGAAAGGAAAGCAAAAGAAGACCAAGGAAAAGAAAGAAAAGGAAAAAGGAGAAAGGAAAGAGCAAAAACCAGACTCCCAAAGGAAAATTTGGGGAGTTCCAAGATGGGAAGGGAAGGAGAGACCCCATGGATTCCCAGGACTGGAAGGGAAGACCACCACATATAGGAGGAGAGGAAAAGACCCACAAAACCCAGAAGACGGGAAGAGAAAACCCAGGCACATTTACTGGTTGGAGGAGTACTTCCCCCTCCCACCCCACAGACCAAAAGCGGGAGTCGGGGGTCCCTAATGAAGCCCACTCTTCCTCTTTGTCCCCCTCCCTTCTCTTTTAAGGTGTTCCAGGAGAAACGGTTCAGGGGCTCCAAAGAGAAAAACAACCACTGCAGGAACCTTACTTCATTTCCAGTTCGTCCTCCTCGGCCTCCCACTGTTTCCGCCGCTCTTCACTGTCCTTGTACTGCTGGAGCATGGCTTCAAAATCCACATCAGCCTGGCGCTGGTTGAGCTCCTTCAGCTCCTGAAGGTTCTCCAGGACTTCCATCTCCAGCTTGGAATCTTTGGTCCTGTTCTCCAAAACCTTGTGCAGACAAGGGGAAGAAACAGCATGATTAGCAGAGTTTAAAAGAGTTGAGAAAGCCAAGTCGCATCAATGTGCATTCAACCAACAAATAGCTGTTTACTTGGAAGAGCTAACCTATTCGAAATGTAGGCAGGTTTTCAACTGCCCTTTGTTTTTAAACTAGTATTAGTATCATCATCTAGCTTTCCCTCTCAAAAAAGAAAAGATTAAAAGAGGCTATTATTATTATTATAGATTTTGTACATAACAACACAGCACACATACATATTAGGTCTAAGTGTCTGGGATTCATCTCTGAATATTGGGTTCTTCCCAAGGGCCTAGGATATTATTGGTATTTTCGCAGAATGTGTGCAGTTCCAAGAAGTGCTGCCTTCTGCAGCATGTGGATTGATGCTCTGTATTATTATTATTATTATTATTATTATTATTATCCAGCTTTCTCTCTTTAAAAAGACTCAAAGAAGCTATTATTATTATTATTATATCATCATCATCATCATCATCATCATCATAATCTGGCTTTCTCTATAAAAAAAGACTTAAAGAGTCCATTATTATTATTATTAATTATTAATATTATTATTTGATACACAACAAGATTGGTACACAGCAAACAAGATCACTATGCTGATTTTTGTATTTGATCACAAGTCGGACACTTCCCAAGCGTCTAGGACTGTGTGATGTATCAACGAATAATGTGTGCAGATCAAAGTAGGGTGGCCTTTTGCAGCTGACAGATAGTAATTTTGCCAGCGGCGATTGTGTTTAAGTGCAGGCCAAGGTCTTCAGGCTCTGTACCTGGCAATTTTGTCAGCGCTGATTGTTTTTAAGATTATTATTATTATTATTATCCAGCTTTCTCTCTCTCTAAAAGAAAACTCAAAGCAGCTCACAACAAAAGGAGGAACGATGTTACTGAATACTTGAAAGCATTGGGCCCTCCTTCACTCTTAAGGCAACATCTGGATAGCTCTCCTCCAAGGAGGCGATGTCATGGATAAATATGGTATATGGTTTCAATGGAATTGTATGAAAGATAAACGAATGAGAGCTAATAATTTTGGAGACACCATTCTGAAGATTATGGCCTGCAATGACCAAATCATTAACTACTTGCTTACTGAATTGTAATTAAAAGTTGCTGAACTGCTAACATCGATGAACTATGACACTGATTAACTGTTGAACTTTTGGGGGAAAACAACATGAAGACATTAATCAGAGATACTGGCTCTAAGTTAAAGAAATGTTTGCAAGGAGGAAGTCAACACAAGGCTTATGTTTACCAACACCAATTAAGATGAGTCAAGATCTGTCTAAGAACTGAGATGAAGACAGGATGTTTCAGGCTGGAAAAAAAAATCTATCATTCATTTACAGCTTTGGAACCGCATCAGCAAGAAATATTGCTATATAAGAGACCTTATTACAATCCAAAACGGTGATCGACAGCTCTGCTGCTCACCCGCCATGCTCTGCTCTTTGGGAAGAGGACAAATGATGTACCTTGGGAGTGTCAGATCTGCAATGGAACGAAAAGTCTTGTCTCTGTCTCCTTCTCAGGTTGGAAGGAGTGTGTTTAGGAAAAGTTTTGGAAATTTTGGCGTTTTAGAACAGTGTGTTGGCAGCCTGCAGGAAAGCAGGGTCTGGCCTTACAGATGTTCTTCTCCAGGAGGAAGGATATGGTAATAGTCGAAGGCTTTCATGGCCTGAATCACTGGGTTGTTGTAGGTTTTCCGCGCTATATGGCCATGTTCTAGAGGCATTTTCTCCTGACGTTTCGCCTGCATCTATGGCAAGCATCCTCAGAGGTAGTGAGGGTTGCCATAGATGCAGGCGAAACGTCAGGAGAAAATGCCTCTAGAACATGGCCATATAGCCCGGAAAACCTACAACAACCCAGATATGGTAATATTTGAATGTATAAGGATGAGTCAATGTGAATGCTGAGTAGTAATAATAATAATAATACTTTATTTGTACCCCGCTAAAAAAGTAACACCCTCTCTTTGTTTGTTTGTTAGCCAATGTAACTGTAGGTTTGTGGATTCAATATAGTTACATAGAATCTGTATGTCTATATGTCTTAATGTTGTTCTCTAAAAGTCCTGATACCCTTTCTCTTACTGGAAAACTGCAATGAAAAAACCAATGCTTTAAAGTTATTGAAAAGTTATTCATAACAGCTAGGGATATTATGTGATGGAAACCTGGCATCATAGGACCCCTCCCTCCATTTTTGTGGCCACCCAAAGTTAGCAACCAACTCCACCAAACTTTGAAAGATTTTGGCATAATTTTTGGGCAAGCCCCCCCACCCCACCTCGCCTCCTTTCCAAATTGTAGAAATACCTTCATGGGATTGTTGAGCTCTTCGTCTTCTCGCTCTTTCTGCAAGCGCTTCTCTTCCTCTTCCAGCAGCTTCTCGGCCTGGAAGTTCCGGGTGGCCCCATGCTCCATGGCATAGTCCGTGTTCTCAGGGTCTGTCTGAAGAGACACACAAAGGGATGGACGTCAGGAGATCCCACCTGAACATTATTAGGAAGAACTTTCTGACCACAAGGAACTCTCTGCCTTAGAGTCCGGTGGAGGCTCCTCCTTTGGAGGCTTTGCAACATGAGCTGTATGGCTATCTGTCAGAGGTGTTCTGAATGTGCTCTTGAATGGCAGAATGGGGTTGGACTAGATGGCCTGTGAGGCCTCTTTCAACTCTCATTCTTTGAAAATGTTCTGTCTGGGAATCTCTAGGTCCACCAGAAATTGAGAGACAGTCTTTCTAGGAATTTCTAGTTCCTTCAGTAAGATTTTATGGTCATCATAATCATAACACAAGACCCCGCCCCTCCCCAATGCATTGTTTTTCTGCCCATTTACTGATTCCTGTCATGGTTTTGACATTTGTTTTCTGGCATCACATAATATAAATGAAAATATGTACGTGTTTGTGTGACTGGGATGTCCACTTACACAGACACGCTCCTGCTACAGCTCCCACTATGCAGAAGACACCAATGGCCCTCCCTCTAATGACATTGCAGGTTATAGCGAGTGCCATGAACATGTCCAAAGGCCCTGCCACTGTTCTTTGCAAACACCATACTGCCCACCACAAAAGTGAAGGCTTTCATACAGGGACAATTTCATCCTAGATTTTCAGTTTTTCCTCCACCACAGACATCCCAGTGTTTCTGTCACTCTACATTGCTGTGAAACTTGTATGACCCTGCCCCTGCCTCTTTCATAACCCTTTCCTGTTCTTTGCTATGGCACACAGAAAACAGAGGAAATGATCAGCAACTGAAGAGAGGTTTGAGGAGAATTTACCATGATTTATAGAAGTTGTAGGTACTGGGATGTATAGTTCACCTGCAATCTAAGAGCACTCTGAACTCCACCAACGATGGACCTGGAAGTAACTTGGCACACAGAGTCCCCATGTCCAACAAAAAATACTGGAAGTCTTTGGAGGGATTTAGAGGAACTGTAGTTCACCTACATCCAGAGCGCACTATGAACCCAAACAATGATGGATCTGGACCAAACTTGGCGTGCGTATCCAATATGCCCACATTTGAATACTGATGGGTTTTGAGGAGAATTGGCCAGGGCTATTTGGAGTTGTGGGTACTGGGATTTATAGTTCACCTGCAATCAATGAGCACTCTCAACTCCACCAAAGATGGAATTAGACCAAACTTGGCACACAGAGCCCCCATGACCAGCAAAAAATACTGGAGGTCTTTGGGGAAATTCACCTTGATTTGGAGGAGTCGTAGTTCACCTACATCCAGACAGCACTGTGAACCCAAACACAGATGGATCTGGGCCAAACTTGGTACACATATCTGATATGCTGAAATTTGATTACTGGAGGGGTTTGGGGGGAATCGACCTTCTTTTCTGGGCGTTGTAGTTCACCCACAAGCAGAGAAACAGTGACTTCCACCAATGATGGACCTGGACCACACTGGGCACACAGAAACCCCATGACTAACTCAACCTACTGGAGGGGTTTGAGGGGACTGACTCACCAAGGTGGGTGTTGTAGTTTGCCCTGCAGCCAGAGAGCACACTGAACCCCACCAATGATGCATTTAGAGCAAACTGGCCCTACATCACAAACTCTAAGTACAGGGTTAACCTGATATGAGAGCTCACCCACAACCTTATGCAAATTGGACAATTAAAAATTTGACTTTTTCAAATAACCCAGGCAATGCTGGATACCAAGGTTAGTTAGTAATAAATTATTATTATTACACGCCTCTCATTGTGGCTCAAGGCAGGGCACAACATGATTCAAACAGCGAGATACAACACAATGCTGTTAAATTACAAATAGTAAGATAGACACAGATAAAATGCAGATTAAAATTCACGAATGAAACACAGTTTAAAATTCAAAAGATCAAATTGACCAAGCAGGCCTAATAGATTAATCTTTTCCTTCTTTGCACAAGAAAGGAGACAAAAGACAAAAAGAGCCCTTTACTTTGAAGGTGATCTCTGCAAGGCAGCGGGTGCATTTGATGTAAAAACGGAAGATGGGGAGCCCCAGGTACGACTCGTTTTGGACCGTCTCCTTCCGGGCATTGAACTTCTTCCCCTTGTAGATGTATTCGCCACACGTCTTGCACCTATACGGTTAAAAGATCCACAGTTTAAAACAGGCATGAGCAAACCTAGGCCCATGGATCGCATGTGGCCCCTTGGGCTCTTTTCTCAAGTCCTCATCTCTCTGACCATCCTATCCTTCCTTCCTTCTCTCTTTCCTTCCTCCCTCTCTTACCTCACTCTTTCTCCCTCCTTCCTTCCTTCCCTTCCACCTTTTCCTTCTTCCTTTCCTCCTTCCTTCCCTCTCTCTTTCTACTGCCTTCCTTCCTTCCGTCCCTTTGTTCTTTCCTTTGTTCTCTCTTTCCTCCCTCACTCCATAATAATAATAGTAATAATAATAATAATAATAATAATACTTTATTTATATACCGCTCCATTTCTCGGGGGCTCAGAGCGGTTCCCAAGTAATATCACAAAACATACAGAATAAAAACAACATAACCATAAAATTAACAAACAAAATATAACCATAAAAATTGTCACCACAACACACATATAGTAAAAGTAATCCTGCCTGTTCAAGGCAATTAAAAATGTAAAAGGCCGGGCCAAGATTTATGCACGCCCAAAAATTCTAGGGGGCCCAGGAATTAAGTGCAATGCTATGGCAAGCAACAATCGTATTAGGTACAGGTCTGTGGCTGTTCATTCCGGAGCCGATTAGAGGAAAGAATCTGGGTAACTGGTAGGAAGAATAAGGCCGTATTAGACAATGTGTGGGGCTGAGTTAGAACTGGTCATTTTCAAAGGCTTCTTGAAACCACCAGGTTTTCAAGCTCTTACGAAAGGAGGGGAGGAATGGGGCCTGTCTTATTTCCCTTGGAAGGGTGTTCCAGAGACGGGGGGCCACCACTGAGAAGGCCCCCCTCTCATCCCCACCAACCGCGCTTGAGACGGTAGTGGGACCGAGAGGAGGGCCTCCCCAGAAGATCTTCCACGCTTCCTTTCTTCCCTTCCTTCTCTTTTTCCTTTATCCTTTTCTCTTGGGGAATGGTTATCTGGGAGAAGGTAGACAGGGAACATGAGAACCAAGATTCCAAAGGGTGTCCCATTGAGGAGGAAGGACAAAAATGACTTTCTGCTGCTCTAGAGACCAGGGCACAAGGAAGGAATGGGTTCAAATGGCAAAGAGATTCTACTGAAAAGATTAGGAAGAACTTCCCGAAAGTAAGAGCTGTTGGAGAGTAGCACAGGTTGCCTTGGAGTGTGGTGGAGTCTCCTTCTCTGGAGGCTTTTCCACAAAATCTGTCTATTAGGAATGTTTTGAATGTGCCTTCTTGCATGGCAGGGGGCTGGACTAGATGACCCTTGGGGGTCTCTTCCAGCTCTAGGATTCTATGTCAGGAGTAGGCAAAATGGGGTCTAATGGATACACTTTTTCTCTCCCATCCACCATCTCATCCTGACCAAAAAGCCAACCCTTTTGGGATCCAAATGTTTAATGTCTTTCCTTCACTTACTGCCTCCAAAAGAGAAAGGGTAGGAAAAGGCAGGGAGGAGGCTTGGAGAGAACCCCCTCCCTCCGGGCTCATACACCCCGCTTCGGCTGGCCATGCGGCCCCCAAGTTAGAAAGTTTGCCTAGTTTAAAACATTCAAACAATGAAGTCCGAACAAATTATAGAAAGCAACCATCCCTTGGCTCTTCTTTTCTCTTACCTCATGTTGAAAGGGGCCATCAACCGGACCACATATTGCCTGTCCTTAGGGAGTTTGAGCTTCGGGATTTTCGACGGATCAAAGTCCGGAGGGTAGTATTTCTAGGAGAAAGAGAAACAGCATCTGTTTGAATAATATTTCATTACAGATGTCAAAATATGTTTTGGCAGCATACCGCACTTACTCAAATCTAATGCTCAGCTTTTTGGGCTGAATTACTTTGCCAAAACGTGGCTGCACAATAGATTCGTGTCATACCGTCTTCCTATGGCTCTTCCACACAGTCATATAACCCAGAATACCAAGGCAGAAAAACCCACAATATCTGTTTTGAACTGGAATATATGGCAGTGTGGACTCAGATAACCTGGTTCAAAGCAAATATTGTGTCTGGATCTGTAGCTTTCTGGAAAAGAAATCACCTCATGAACAAAGTGGAAAGGCTTTATTTCTAAAAGTATACATTGGGTCACGAAACAAAATTCCAACTGACAGTTTATTTCCCTCATGCCTCCTATCCCATACCCTATCCCACCACTTCATTGCTCCCATTTCCATGGAAACCCTCTCCCTTGTTTCAAATATACACAGGCCAGGTCTAAGGCATGGTCTAATTTCCTGGTTTCACACAAAACCAGGAAATAAGGTCATGACATATTGTGGGATTTTTTCTACCTAGATCAGTGTTTCTCAACCTGGGGGTCGGGACCCCTGTGGGGGTCACAAGGGGGTGTCAGAGGGGTCGCCAAAGACCATCAGAAAATATAGTATTTTCTGTTGGTGATGGGGGTTCTGTGTGGGAAGTTTGGTCCAATTCTATCATTGGTGGGGTTCAGAATGCTATTTCATTGTGGGTGAACTATAAATCCCAACAACTACAACTCCCAAATGGCAAGGTCTATTTTCCCCAAACTCCAGTGTTCACATTTGGGCATATTGAGTATGGGTGCCAAGTTTGGTCCAGATCCACCATTGTTTGAGTCCACAGTGTTCTCTGGGTGTAGGTGAACTACAACTCCAAAAACTCAAGGTCAATGTCCACCAGACCCTCCCAGTATTTTCTCTTGGTCATGGGAATTCTGTGTGCCAAGTTTGATTCAATTCCATCATTGATGGAGTTCAGAAGGCTCTTTGATTTTAGGTGAACTATAAATCCCAGCAACTCCAACATTCCCAAATGACAAAATCAATCACTCCCATCCCACCAGTATTCAAATTTGGGCATACCAGGTATTTGGGATTTGAAAATACATCGTGCATATCAGATATTTACATTACAATTCATAACAGTAGCAAAATTACAGTTATGAAGTAGCAACGAAAATAATGTTACGGTTGAGGGTCACCACCACATGAGGAACTGTTTTAAGGGGTCGTGGCATTAAGAAGGTTGAGAACCACTGACCTAGATACTCTGGTTTATATGGCTGTCTGGAAGGGCCCTGAGTTATCTGAGTCCACACTGCCATATATTCCAGTTCAAAGCAGATATTGGGGATTATCTGTCTTGATATTCTGGGTTAAATGGCTGTGTGGAAGGGCCCATATAACCCAAAATATCAAGGCAAAACCCCCCACAATATCTGCTTTGAACTGGGTCCACACTGCCATATATTCCAGTTCAAAGCAGATATTGTGGGATTTTATTTAGCTGTGTGGAAGGGGCCCTATTGCCGAGGCGTCCCCTGGGCAACGTCCTTGCAGTCCAAGTCATTTCCCAGGATTGATATGCTTTTCCCATCTAAATTGGCGAAGGAAGGGCTGGCAGGGCTTTCCCTCGCTCTCCCTGCATTTAAATGCCAACCAACCACCTTCTGCTCCCAACAGATTGGGACCAACCCCACGGGCGTGATGGGAAATGTAATCCTGGAGCCATGGCTTACTCCCTGCCGTCATTTTGGCCTCACAACAATCCTGCGAGGGAGGCCACTATGGCTTCCGCCCCTCCAAACAACAATAGCCGCCGCCCCCCCTCCGCCCCTCCAAACCACAATAGCCTCGCCCTTCGCCCCCATTCCGCCCCCTTTTTCCCCTCTACTAACATTTAACACTTTTCTCTCCGACATTTTGCCTCTCCGCCACTCCTCGCTCTTCTCCCCACGGCGACTTTCGCTCTTTTACAACTCCGCCCCGCCTCCTCTCTCCCTATTGGCTTCCGGGTCTTCTCCCCACGTCTCTATTGGTTGATACGGCAGTCTGTTACTCCTCTCCACATTTTATTGGCTGAGAAGAGCGTCTGTCAAAAGCGTACGCTCCTTCCTCAACTACGAAAGCGTCTACTGTGCGTCAGGCGACGTGTCCTCCCTTCAAAGCGGTCCCATGGTGTAACGAAAGCCACCGCGCCTTTGGTTCCGGGGTAAAAAGGAGTTGGGTTTTCTATGTATGAGGATGTTCCTCAGTGAATAATAACAACAGCAGCAGCAATAATAATAATAATGTGGCCTAGACAAATGCGTCAAAGTGGCATTAAAGATAGACAAAAGAGTTCACAGTGAGGGCATAGAGATGCCAAATGGAGTAGCAATGGCTCACCAATCTCAATGGAGCCCCCGGTGGTGGCACAGTGGGTTAAACCCCTGTGCCGGCAGGACTGAAGACCAACAGGTCGCAGGTTTGAATCCGGGGAGAGGTGGATGAGCTCCCTCTATCAGCTCCAGCTCCTCATCCGGGGACATGAGAGAAGCCTCCCACAAGGATGATAAAAACATCAAATCATCCAGGCGTCCCCTGGGCAACGTCCTTGCAGATGGCCAATTCTCTCACACCAGAAGCTACTTGCTCCTGACACGACAGCACCAATCTCAATCAACCCCTCTTGAGCCAAGGGGACTCCTGACATTGTGCAGAGTTCTGACGTGCCGGTGAGCAAATTAAATGGTGCAAATACGATCAAAGCTATCAACACCTGGGACATTCTCGTCGTCAGATACACTGCTGGAATTGTGAACTGGACGCAAGCAGAGCTGGATGATCTGGACAGAAAAACAAGAAAATCGATGCCAATCCACTACTCATGACGAAGAGCACAATTCTTGCAGCCCAAGAACAAGCCTTTAGAACCAATGCCATCAAAGCCAGAATTGAAAAGTCAACGGCAGATTCTGCAAGGAAGCAGACAAAACAATGGATTGAGGACGAGCTCACAAGCTTTCAAGTTGATTTGAACCGCAGCAGGGAGTTCCACAGTTCCTGGGATCATGGACTGGATGGAAGCTAAAGGACTGCAGCTCCAGCAGCAGCTTCCACACAGGGAACTTTTCCTTTCTCCTTTCTCTGCTGACTGAGCTTACCCTGTCAATGTAAATCTCCCAATAAAAAGTATCTTTTCCTTGCAACTTTTCCTCTCAATAGTGATACATTGTGTCCCTTTACTGCCTCTAACACTCCCAAGCATGAAACTTTCCCTTTCCAAGCCGCAGATCACTCCTGACTCGCCCAGGACGCTATTACAGCGTCACAGGGAGGCCGAAACTACGTTCCTCTGAACTACGGATACAGAGACCCATTGGGCCCCCGTATCCGCAGGTCAACGGATCAACTCCAAACCTGTGCCATTTTTCTCCTAGACTAATGTTAAGACTATTTGCTATCTCACTTTTTTGCATTATGGACCCCTGCGTCCAAGGAAAATCATTTTTATTTCAAAAACCTCATGGGACCAGCTGACTTCAATCCCTGGCTCCATGCTGCAATGACATTCGTGCCTCCATCTCATGCATGTCATGAAGCCTGTCAGCCCCGGGGAACCTTCTGTGGTCACTCCTTGGGACCCCAGACCCCTCGCAGGCCATTCTGCTCCTTGGATGAAATTGGATTTGTAGTTTTCTCCTCTTCAATGAATGAATTCTGACACCTCAGCGCTCCCATTGACTCTTATGAACTTCCCAAGGATCTTTATGAACTTTCCCCAACTTTCATGAACTTTTTGGAACTTTTATCAACTTTTGAAGGACTTTGGAAGTATTGGGAACCCTTTGCCAAATCTCTATGGATTTTTATGATTTTCACAAACCTTTATGGACTTTTAATGGACTTTGGAGGGAGGGAAGGCTGACAGGGTTTCCCCTTATATTTTGCATGACTTCCCCTAATGGATTCCTTGTATGTTCCTCTACCGTTTCCCATGCCTCATATGTATGTATGTATGTCTATATTTTGAAAATCGAAGGAAAAAGCCACCTTTTTCATGAACTCAGCGCCTCATGGCTCCATGATGGGAATGGGGATGTTGATTCGGTTTCTGGGCCAGGGTCTGGGGATGAGAGGCCAAGTTGCTACAAGGGCCTGAATGGAGTTTGAAAGACAGGTCAGAGAGGCCTGAGTTGCTGTAAGATTCTCAAGGTCTCAAGCCTGAGAAAGGCTTTGTGCCACAGTTCTCTTATCAGTTATCCTAGCTACCAGAAGTTAATGAGGCCTTGGACAGGAAAAGATGTTTCAGTCAACAAAGACCATCAGTACAACAATTAAGGTGCTCGACTAGACTCCAACAGAAGTTGGAAGTGAAACCAAAATTAAGAAAGAATCCATTTCTAGCTGTTTGGGAATTAGGCCAAGTGACTAGTGAGAAATATTGTTTCAGTTGAAGCAATGCCAGATTCACGTCAAGTTCCTAGTGTCATGGTCTTGGTTATGCTATGGAATATGCCTTTGTTCTGTTCATGGATTCAAGTGTGTTTGCTGTTGTTTTGTCTATGAATTCAAGTGCCAAGTTTCATGGATTTCTTTGGACCCTTTGTTTCTGTCATCTTTTAAATTATTTGGATTACTTTTTACTGTGGATTGTTTTGTTTTTTTTACTGCTTTGACTTTTTATATTCTTAAATAAACTGCTTGCTGATTTTACCCAGCTGGTGTGGTGTTTAAGGTCAGAGGTGATCCTACTCTGAAGTACGACAGGCAGCAGCAGAGTTGATGAGAAGCAACTGGAAAAGCTGACACGATACGAGGATTTAAAGATCAAACTGCACAAGCCAGTCAAGGTGGTCCCAGTGGTGATTGGCACACTGGGTATAGTGCCTAAACACCTTGGCCTGCACTGAAAAACAATCGCCACTGACAAAATTACCATCTGTCAGTTGCAAAAGGCCATCCAACTTGGATCTGCAAACATTATTTGATGATACATCACATAGACCTAGACACTAGGGAAGTGTCCGACGTGTGATCCAATACAAAAGCCGGCATAGTGATCTTGTTTGCTGTGTACTAATGTTGTTGTGTGTGTAATAATAATAATAATAATAGCCATGGCCATTATTATCATTGTCATCATAACAACAGCAATAACAATAATAAATTTTATTTGTTAGCCTCCTCTCCTCAAGGTGGAGTACAACATAGCTAAAATACATAACATAAGATCATTAAAAGGCCATCCAATCCAACGTTTTTCTGCCAGTCCGGTAGACACCATCTGATCCTTCCCGATAAATGGCCATCCAACCTCATAGAATGTTCATGGAGATACAGGGCTATAAAATTATAGAGTTGGAAGAGACCCCCAAAGGTCATCCAGTCCAACAGCATTCTTCTAGGTAGGGAAACACCCAGTCTCTGCTTTAAAACCTCCCGAGAAGGAGGCTTGAATGGACTCCCAAGGCTGCATAGTTTAAGCATAGTTTAAGATCCATCACTCCAAGCTGTTCCAGTGGCTGGAAAACTCCAAGTGCTGTATTCGCCGTTATCAAGGAAATCTTTGGCTGCCACTTGGACATAATATGTTGTTCCAGAACGAATCCCGGTCAAGACAAAAGAGGTTTGCTCAGTCGGTCTGATCTGAAAAGGTCACAGGGATCAGAACTATGGATTATTTACTTGCTTTCAAATGTATAAGGCAGCAAGCCATGACATGTGGTCTTTAAATGGGATATTAGAATTATGAAATCATAGAATCTTAGAGCTAGAAGAGACCCCAAAGGCAATCCAGACCAACCCCATTCTGTCATGACACCATTGAAGACCTCCCAACAGATGGCCATTCAGTCCTGAAGTGTCAAATTTATGGCCCTAAGACCATCCGTCACTGTCCTGGGTTTTCAGCTCATTCTGGCATACTCAAAAACAGTCTCAAACAGCTCAAACAGATAGATTTCATTATTCACAATTGTGAAGATGCACAGCATCAGCTGTAACTCAGAGAGCTTTTATATCTACTTGTAAACATCTCAGGTCACAGCTCTGCCTAGGTCAAGTTTCCCATATTTGGTCATACTATTAAATCCTCCTCTTTCATTGGCTTAAGCTCACCTCTGCATTCTACCAAAATAGGCACTACAAAAGACAAACAAAAAGACACAATATGTGCTGCTCCTTCCCGAATGGGAGGAGGTATTCCTGCTTTTTCTAACTTTGGTTCCTTCAGTCCAATGCCCTGCTATGTAGGAAAATATCACGAAAACGATCCTGACAGATGGTCATCCAGTCCAACCACTGCTATGTTGGAAGACACCATCAAAGCCCTTGCAATAGATGGCCATCTAGCTTCTGCTTCAAAATCTCCATCAAAGGAGACTCAAAGAGATTCATATCTTTCTGACATTGGATCATTTTGGTCACATTTCTGCAGATACTTTCCAGCTTGAAAATTGCATCTCAGATGCTTCCATACCTAAATAATTCCTCTGCCTTCCCACTTTCTCTGCTGATGTTAAAACGTCCCAGTTTCTCTCTTTACCCCTTTGTCCTCAGCTTACTTCCCTTGCTGCGAATGGCTTTCAAATGCCCAAAATCTGAACTAACTCAACAAGGGAGTGCTTTTTCTCACCGTCTTGCGGCTGTGAGATCCCTCCTTCCAATAACGGATCATGTATTTCAAAGGGAAATATTCGGGAAAGAGCCATGAAACTGGCGGCTTCCATTCCAAAAGGAGTTTCTTCTTCTCGCCTCGGATTGGGGAGACTGTCACCCCTTCCGGAGGGTCAGGTTTGACTAGGAAAAACCGAAATAAAGGGGAAAAAAACAGTATGGGACAGAAGAGGACAAGATGGCCCCCCAAATAAAAATATATTTCTCAATGAATTTTTCCTCCAGTCCCTAAAATTTCAGATTTCAGGGACCACACACCTGTTACAAAACGTAAGAACAGAATAGGGGCTAAAAGGGTGGCTCATTTGGTTCTTATTGTTACAACAAGCTTTTTAAAATAAAAAAAGAAATATTATTGCTTATTTATTTACGATATTTCTATCCCACCTTTCTTAAGCCCGAAGGCGACTCAAGGCAGCTTATAAATTGGCAGCAATTTGATGCCATAACAATCCACAATATACAATGAAAACATTTAAAACAACATTATAAAATCCATACAAAAACCATTAAAACATATAATAATAAATAATTTAAAAAACGTTATTTATATACCGCTCTATCTCCCCGAGGGGGACTCAGGGCGGTTTCCAAGTACATCACCGAAACATACAAAGTAAACAGCATAACATAAAATTAACAAAATAACTCAGGTGTCTCCTGAGTGGTGGAAGTTATGTTTGTGAAAGTGGGAACCTGTCAGTGTAAGTGGACACCTCAGCCACACACACATGCATATTTTCACTTTTATTATGTGCATAGATAGATTATTATTTTATATTATTTTTGTATTATTATATATTATGTTTTATTTGATTTTCAGTTTAATACGTTGTGTATTTTGTATGCTTTATGTTTCAATATGGCATTGAATAATTGCCAAAAACTGGATGCTGCTCTGAGGCCCCTCTGGGGTGAGATAGGGTGGGTTAGAAATACAGTAAATCAATAAAATTATTATTATTATTATTATTATTATTATTATTATTATGTATGATTTATATTGTTGTTGTTGTTTTTGTTGAAATGTTGAGGTATTTTATTTGCAAAATGCTCATTGGGGTATTTTATTTGCCAATACAGTAGAGTCTCGCTCATCTGACCTTCACTTATCCGACATTCCGACTTATCCGATGCCCACCTTTTCCTCCAGCATTTCTCCTTCAATTAAAGGAATGTTCCCCAACTGTCTCTCCATTCCCAATAAGTGAAAAAGGCAAGACGAGGAGGAGGAGGAGGAGGAGGAGGAGGAGGAGGGAGGAAAGGGAGACAAGAGGCAGGACCGGAAGTGGAAGTGTCCTCCCTCCTTCCCTCTGTGATTTCCATGCTTCTCTTCCACATCCCGGCACTTCCTGCTGAGCCCTTTAGCTCTGAGGTGTTGCCTTGCCTTAACTCTTTGAGTTCCTGTTGTTAGTATTCTAGGTGTCTAGCACCGCGTCGAATGGGTAACAGCAGGAGATTCCATATTATCCAACATTTTCGTTTATCCGATGTTCTGCCAGCCTGTTTATGTCGGATAAGTGAGACTCTACTGTACTTCATTAGCTCTTTTGCTTGTTTGTTTACATTTTGACCCCAATCGGGTAAAAAAAAAAAACTCTGGGAAGTTTTTCCTTTGTTAAGCAGATTCAATGTATCCCCCTTTCTTCCACAAAGTACCAAAAACAGGGAAAAGACATTGTCCCAGTGAGCTACATTGATGCACATTTGGCTAAAGACCCGGTAGAACTACAACTCCCAGGATGCTGTAGCATTGAGCCAGGCACTTAACGTGATAACAAACCCATGCAAACTCATCCAACATTGTCGAATCCACCCAAAGTAAAACAACTCACGGATCTGCTCCAGGAAGATGGGAAAGAGGCGAGTCGCCGACCCCAAAGGATTTGTGGCCGTCACATTGAGCACATAGGGATCAATGGTGAACATCTGGATGTTGGGGATGGAGCAGAGGTTGGCCTCAGCGACGGGCGGGATGCATTCATGCGCTTGGCCTTCCAGGCCGTGCCTAGTGCACAGAGAGGCGCAGGGTTAGCATGGCATTTCCTGCCCCGACACTGGCATAACTGGGGTTCCATCACCACTTTGGGGCAGAAAAGGAGGCACAAACTCAATCATAATACCTGTAACTGGAGAAGAAAAGAGTGGGGAGGTGCGTCTCAGTTGGTAGAGTCCAGGTGCAATTGGCCACTGGGTAACTGGCCGACCAGCATTGGACATCAGGCTTCTCAGGTGGGTCTGAGAAAAAAGAGACAGAAAGGACAGTGTGTTGTCAAAAACTTTCATGGCTGGAATCACAGGGTTGCTGTGAGTTTTCTGGGCAGTCTGGCCATGTTCCAAAAGCATTCTCTCCTGACGTTTGGCCCACATCTACGGCAGGCATCCTCAGAGATCATGAGGTCTGTTGGAAACTAGGCAAGTGGGATTTATATAACTGTGGAATAATGTCCAGGGTGGGAGAAAAAAACTCTTGTCTGCTTGAGGCAAGTGTGAATGTTGCGTTTGGCCGGCTTGATTATAATTAAATAACCTTGCAGCTTCAAAGCCCGGCTGTTGCTGCCTGGGAGAATCCTTTGCTGGGAGGTGTTACTTGGTCCTGATTGTTTCCTGTCTGGAATTCCCCTGTTTTTTGAGTGTTGTTCTTTATTTACTGTCCTGATTTTAGAGTTTTTAAATACTGGTCCTTGTCTGTGTTGGCAAGTTCTTTGCAGGTGAACTGCCCTGTTGTAAGAGGTTGAATTCCAGGTGGTCTCTAAAATCAGGACAGTAAATAAGGACCGGGCTTTAGCACAGCGGGTTAAACTATCAGCTGCAGAAAATCTTGCCAACTGAAAGGTCAACAGTTCAAGCCCGGGTTGGGGTGAGCTCCCATCCATCAGCCCAGCCTCTGCTCACCTAGCAGTTTGAAAACAGTAATGTGAGTAAATAAATAGGTACCGCTTTGGCGGGGATGTAATAAAAGGCATCCATGCAGACTTGCTGGCAATTCAATCGGGAGACAACAAAGCTCCTCAGCATGGAAGATGGAGCAACAGCACCCCCTGTGGCTGGAGTCAAGCACAGCCTCCAGATGCCAGAGATGGAAAAGGATGGGAAGCCTTTGCCTCTGTTTATGTACCGTGTGACCTTGTTAATTGTATAACGGCATTGAATGTTTGCTGGATATGTGTACTGTAATCCGCCTTGAGTCCCCTCGGGGAGATAGAGCAGAATATAAATAAAGTATGTTATTATTATTATTATGATTATCATTATTTATCCATCATCTATCATCTCTCTTTACCTATAAATCATATCTCTCTATCTGTCCCTTTCATCTATATTTATTTAACTCTCCATCAATCATCTATATCTACCATCATCTATCATTTATTTATCCCTGTCTATCATCTATCTATCTCTATCATCGATCTATCATCTATTTATCTCTCTATCATCTATCTATCTATCTATCTATCTATCTATCTATCTATCCATCTCTTTCATCTATCTATATTCTATCTGTCTGTCTGTCTATTTACCTAGCCATCCATCTACCATCTTTCTCTCTAATTGCCTCTATCAATCATCTATTAATCTTCCATCATTTATAATTTATTTATCCCTCTATCATCTGTCATATCTCTATCAATCATCTATCTATCTATCTGTCTGTCTGCCTGCCTGCCTGTCTGTCTGTCTGTCTGTCTATCCATCTATCTGCCTCTATCATCTATTTCTTTCATCTACCTACCTACCTACCTCTATTTCTCTAACATTTAGCTACCTCTTATCATCTATCTATCTATCTATCTATCTATCTATCTAGCTGTCCATCCATCATCTATTACCCTCTCTCTCTCTCTCTACCTACCTCTTTATCAAAAATCTCCCTCTTATCTATTTATTTCTCTAACAATAATTTCTTTTTCTATCTATCTATTAATCTTGCCTACCAATATCAAACATCTCTCTATATATTATCTATCGGGTTAGCTCTCTATGCCAACTATTAATCTCTTTATCTCTTTATCACATTTCCTCTATCAATCTTCTATTTATCTATTTACCTAACCATCCCTATAATTTATCTATCAGATAGATGATAGAGAGAAGATGAAAGATAGAGAGATAGATAGTGATATAGAGAAACAGGTAGAAGGATACAAAGATGACATAGATAGATACGAGATAGATAGATAGATAGATAGATAGATAGATAGATAGATAGACAATCTAGCCAGCTAGCGAAAGAGAGAGAGAGAGAGAACATCTATCTGTCTGTCTGTCTATCCATCTTATTTATTTCCTGGCTTTGTTTGCTATTTACTTGTCTGGTGACTCAGGTCCTGGATCCATTTCCCTAGGTGACTTCTATAGCAACTGGCTCTAGACCTTGTCAAAGGGCCACTGCCAGGATGTCAACGCACAGAGCCATGGTAGTGAAAGTGATGTCAAACTGCATTCATTCTACAGTGTAGATGCACCCAGGTGTTTCCTAATGTTTGGACTCACAGCCCAGCTTCAGGTGGATCCTTCTCAGGGGTGGTCCAGCCTCTGAGTCGTGGCAACTGTATTCCCCTCCTTGTGCCAAAGTCACATTCTGCAGGATTAAGCTGCCATCCTTCCTCGCCGCTTTGGGCACTGGTTTGCCATTTAGAGCCCATTGCACTGCAGATGTGTTTCCCGATATGGAGCAGGACAGGATCACTTCGGGGGCCCCAAGGCTGACATAACGCTGGGATACCAAGCCATCCGCGGTCCCTGTTAACCCCAAAGAATAGCCTTATTAAATAGACTCTCCGTTAAATGGTTGCTATGAGAGCAACATATTCCACCACCCCCTTTTCATACCTCTCTCTTCCTTGAGCACAGCAGCATCTTCACACGAACAGGTTGATAGGACTGCAAGCACCAACATCCACAGCATCTTTGAGATAAATGGAGAAAGAGTTGCCAGATGTCATACTTTCAGGTAGAAAATCGCATGGAATCAGAGAGCTATGTCATAGGAAATCTGCTACAAAACAGGAGATTTTTTGTTGAGTTCCAGGGTCAGAGAAGCAGATGGTGAAAACAGTAGAATGGCCTGACTCAGGGGAGCATGCTTGCTCCATCCATGTTTAACATTTACCCAAAGATCAGCCACTGCCAGAAGGGACAGAGAGTTTTTTCTATGCTGACGATTGTGCCATCACCGCTCAAGCAGGGAGCTTTGAAATGGTTGAACAGAAGCTCTCTGGAGCTTTAGGTGCTCTTACTGCCTATTACAGGAAAAACCAGCTGATTCCTAAAACACAGATGTGTGCTTTTCATATTAAGAACAGACAAGCACCTCAAACTCTGAGAATTACATGGGAAGGAATCCCACTTGAGGATTGCAGCACACCCAAATACCTGGGAGTCACTCTGGATCATGCACTGACTTATAAGAAGCACTGCTTGAATACCAAGCAAGAAGTGGGTGGTAGAAATAATATCATATGAAAGCTGACTGGCACAACCTAGGGATCACAACCAGACACAGTGAAGGCATCTGCTCTTGCACTTTGCTACTTTGCTGCTGAATACGCATGCCCATTGTGGAACACATCTCACCACATTAAAACAGTGGATGTGGTTCTTAATGAGACATGCCTCATTATCACAGGATGTCTACACTCTACAAATTATACTGTTTAACCAGTATTGAACCACCTAACATCCGTCAGGAAGTAGCAGCCAGCAATGAAAGGACCAATGCATCAAAATCTCCAGACCATCCTCTGTTCGGATATCAGCTAGCAAGCCAATGCCTTAAATCAAGAAATAGCTTCCTAAGAGTACAGGTGTACAGGAACACATCAGCAAGTGAGAGTCCAAAAGTGGCAGGCTAAAACCCGGAACCTCAATCAGTGACTAATACCAGATGAGAAACCTCCTCCTGGGCACACAGAAGGCTGGTCAACTTGGAAGGCACTGAACAGACTGTGCTGGCACCATGAGTTGCAGAGCCAACCTTAAGAAATGGGACTACAAAGTGGAGTCTATTACATGCGAGTGTGGAGAAGAGCAAACCACAGATCGCCCTGAGTCCTCCCTGCAGGGGGCTGAGAAGGGCGGGGTATAAATATCCTAAATAAATAAATAAATAAATACTACAATGCAGCCTGAGCCCTGCCACATGCACAATGGAGGGCCTTCTTACAGCGACATCAGAGGCACTCCAAGTGGCCAGCTTCTGGTCAAAAGTCATTTAGTATAATGCCAAGTTTATAACTTTGTTTGTGGTTTTTGTATGCATTGTAACTGTATTCTCAATTTGCTTCTGACACGATAAATAAAAATAAAAATAGAGCTGTGGAAGGGTCCCCAAAGGGGATCCAGTCCAACCCCGTTACGGGGAGGCACTATCAAAGCACTCTCGGCAGATGGCCATCCAACATCGTAGAGAAATCCATGGAGAAATAGGACTATAGAATAATAGAGTTGGAAGTGACTCCCACAGGCCATCCAGTCCTACCCCTTTTCTACCAGGCAGGAAGACATCATCCAATCCCTCCTGACAGATAGCCACCCCTCATAGGAATTCATAGTTTCCATACCTTGTGTCCTTTTGTTTGTCTATATCTACCTTCCAGGTGACCAAAGCAGAAAAGAACACGACTATGACTTCCATCAACTCCTATTGATGCCTAGAGGCTTAGAATCACATTGGCCTTTTTTGCTGCCACATCAAGCTCTTGTCTCGTGTTCAGGTCCTTTTCCCATGGACTTTTCAAGCCAGGGGTCACCCATCCTATACCTAACAAGTTCACTGTTTTCTGCCTTGTATTTCTCCCTGTTGCAATGCATTGCATGCTTCTCGGCCCCACTCTGTAATCTAAGAAAGTTCTTTTGGGACCCTGATACTGTCTTATAGGGGTGAGGGATCTAAGCTCTCCTACCCAATTTGGGTTTCCTTTGCATTGAGAGCAGCATGCCATCTGTGCCCTCATCCAAGCCGTCATTGATAAAGACACAATTAAAAACTCACTTGAAAGGCTGCGTTCCCCATCCCAGGCAAGGAAGGAGAAGAAGCGGCTGTCTCTTTCGCCCTGACAAGAACTGATCATGTCGTGTTTTCTCACATCCTCCAAGCTGGGCTCAAAAAGTCCCTTCCTTTCCCATCAGGAGGGACAATTCCCAAAGATCAGCTGCAGCCTTGGAATTTCCTTTGCTGTCACAATGCACACACAAAGCCATTCCCCCTGAGTGGATATCCGGAATGACACAACCTTAAGCCACGGGTCCAAATGCGTCCAAGGACTTTGCCCTCCCTGCATCACTGCCATGATAACAAAGGCATGTAATATAGGAATATACAGGCTGCATCAACACTGTTTGAGACCACTTTTAGCTAGAGTAGACAGCCCTGCCATATGCCTTTCCCAATCTTGAACCAGTCTGTTGTTCCGTGGTCCGTTCTTAGTGTTGCTACTTGGTTGTTATATATAGATTCCTCAGGAGGCAGACAAGCTGGCTTGGTCTCCCCAGACCACCAAGAATTTGCCACCATTTATTATAATCCACACAGTCAAAGGTTTTAGAATAGTTAATGAAGCAGAAATAGATGTTTTTCTGAAACTCCCTGCCTTTCAAGGGCCAAGGCTTCCCAGTTCTCAGTGTCTATGCCAGAGTTCTTAAGGTTGGCTTTGAGCCCATCTTTAAATCTCTTTTCCTGTCCTCCAATATTCCGTTTTCCGTTCTTGAGTTCGGAGTAGAGCAACTGCTTTGAGAGATGGTGGTCCGGCACCCAGTCAATGTAGCCGGTTCTAGCGAAGCTGATAGCAGAGGACCATCACTTCAATGCTGGTGGTCTTTGCTTCTTCCAGCACGCTGACGTTTGTCCGCTTGTCTTCCCAAGAGATTTGCAGGGTTTTCTGGAGGCAGCGCTGATGGAATCATTCCAGGAGTTGCATGTGACGTCTGTAGACTGTCCATATTTCTCAGGCATATAGCAGGGTTGGGAGGGGAATAGCTTTATAGACAAGCACCTTGGTATCCCTACGGATGTCCCGGTCCTCAAACACTCTCTGCTTCATTCGGAAAAAAGCTGCACTAGCAGAGTTCAGGCGGTGTTGTATTTCGGTGTCAATGTTGACTTTGGTGGAGAGGGGGCTGCCAAGGCAGTGGAAATGGTCAACATTTTCTAATGTTACACCATTAAGCTGTATTTCTGGCATCGGAGAGGGATTGGCTGGTGCCTGCTGAAAGAGCACTTTTGTTTTTTCGATGAGCAATGACAGGCCGAGCATCTTGTATTATTTTTTAAAATTTTAATTGTTACATTTGGCCCAGCCATAGGTTTGTAAATGCCATCGTGTTATTGTTAATGCGTATTGCTTATTTTCTGCTTATGAGTTTATTTATTGTTTTGTATTACTGTTGCTATTGTTTATTGTTGTATTGTGGGCTCGGCCTCATGGAAGCCGCACCGAGTCCCTTGGGGAGATGGTAGCGGGGTACAAATAAAGTATTATTATTATTATTATTATTATTATTGTATGCTTCTGCGAAGGTGTTTAGAGTGGCTTGTAGGTCTTCTTCTGAATGGGCGTAGACGACGTTGTCATCAGCATACTGGAGTGCTATAACAGATGTTGTTGTAACCTTGCTTTTGGCTTTCAATCTGCTGAGGTTAAACAGCTTGCCATCTGTCCAATAGATGATTTCCACTCCGGTAGGAAGCTTCCCATCAACAAGATGAAGTATCATAGCGATGAAGATGGAGAATAAAGTTGGGGCAATAACACATCCCTGTTTGACACCTGATCCTACCTTAAATGGGTCACGTTGGGAGTCATTGCTGTCCAAGACTGTTGCCATCATGTCATCACGGAGGAGCCGAAGGATGTTCACAAATTTGTTAGGGCACCCGATTTTTTGGAGGATGGTCCAGAGAGCGCTGCGATTCACTGTGTCGATTGCCTTTGCAAGGTTGATGAATGTCATGTACAGAGGTTGATTTTGTTCTCTGCCTTTTTCTTGGAGCTGTCGTGCAGTGAAGATCATGTCCACTGTTCCTCTGGAGGGGCAGAAGCCGTTCTGGGATTCTGGGAGGGTGTCTTCTGAGAGGAGCAGAAGGCAATTTGCAAGGATTCTTGCAAGGATTTTCCCAGCGGAGGTTAGGAGCGGGATACCTCAATAGTTTCTGCAGTCTGTTCTTTCCCCTTTTTTGAAGAGGGTGATGATGGTGGCATTCTTGAAATCTGCTGGGATTTTCTCGGTCACCCACACTTTTTCAATGAGCTGGTGGAGTTGGTGTGTCAGCTCAGGTCCTCCCTCTAAAGCAGTGATTCTCAACCTGTGGGTCTCCAGGTGTTTTGGCCTACAACTCCCAGTGATCCTAGCTAGTTTACCAGCTGTTAGGATTTCTGGGAGTTGAAGGCCAAAACATCTGGGGACCCCAGGTTGAGAACCACTGCTCTAAAGAGTCTGTAGCCTCTGTGCTGGTTAGAGTCGCCTTCAAGAGAGATAAACCAGGGAATAAAAATAACAACAACAACCTGGATTTGAGAGGAGTATTTTCTGATCACCTATGTTTTAATGTCCAATTGGACCAACAAGGCACCAAATCCCATGCGATCTTGGAAGCTAAGAAGGATCAGCCTTGGTTACTATTTGGATGGAAGACCATTGACGAATACCAGGTTCTGTAAAGGCTCTATTCCAGAGGAAAGAATTGGCAAAGTATGTCCGAGCCTTGCCAAAGAGAACCCAATGCACTTCATGGGCCTTGATGCCATAGGGACACAATGGTTTTTGCAAAATGAATTTTCTAAATACTTATTATTATTATTATTATTATTACTAGCTTGGATACCTGGCATTGCCCGGGTTATTTGAAAAAGTCATGCCACGTGAACCCTCAGAAACTTCATCAGTGCTTCAAGTTTGTTATGTTGGCCAAGTTTGCTCCAGATGCATCACGGGTGGGGTTCAGTGTGCTCTCTGGTGTAGGGTAAACTACAACTCCCACTTTGGTGAGTCAGTAGATTATTATTATTATTATTAAACTTTATTTGTACCCCACTAGCATCTCCCAAGGGATTCGATGCGGCTTACACTTAGATTAGATTGAGTCAGTCATGGGGGTTCTATGTGCCAAGTTTGGTCTAGGTCCATCATCGGTGAAGGTCACCATTGTGGGTGAACTACAACTCCCAGAAAGAAAGCTCAGTTGCCCCAAACTGCTCCAGTAATCAAATTTCGTCATATCAGGTAAGTGTGCCAAATTTGGTCCAGATCCATCAGAATTTGGATTCACCCACAACCAGAGAAGCTGTGACCTCCACCAATGATGAACCTGGACCAAACTCTCAAGCTACCAGAAACGTCATTGATCCTGCACCTACCAATCCCAGGCAGGCGAGGACCTGCCTGGAAGCCTGGGTCACGTGGCTCTCGTCCTCCGTTGCGATTGGAGGTGGCGCAAGCAGGCTCCCTGCAGCGCCCAGGACTCCTATTGCCGCCATCCAGTGGACACATCGAGCATTGCACCCTCTTCTGCCCTTCCATTTGAACCTCAGAGGCCCCTTTGGTCCAGGATGCCTATGTGTAATCCTTTGTCGCCCTCCAGTGGAGACATCGAGCCATCCCAATAACCCCACCTCCTCCAAGATGAACTGAACCACCTCAACTGAGCTCTCCAGGCCAATGGAGACTCCACCTCAGACATCAGAAGAGCTGCAAGACCAAGAACAAGCCACGAGAGTCAAGATGAAGATCCACCCAGAGGAAAAGTGTTCCTGCCATACATCAAGGGAACCACTGACCGCATAGGGAAGCTGATGAGGAAACACAACATACAAACAATCTACAAACCCACCAAGAAAATCCAACAAATGCTACGTTCAGCAAAGGACAAGAGGGATCCTCTCACCTCTGCAGGAGTCTACCGTATACCATGCAGCTGTGGACAAGTCTACAAGGACCACCAAACGCAGCATTGCCCAGACACGCATCAAGGAACATGAAAGGCACTGCAGACTACTTCAACCAGAGAAGTCAGACATAGCAGAGCACCTGATGAACCAGCCTGGACACAGCATATTATTTGAGAACACAGAAATGCTGGACCACTCCAACAACCACCATGTCAGACTACACAGAGAAGCCACTGAAATCCACAAGCATGTGGACAATTTCAACAGAAAGGAGGAGACCGTGAAAATGAACAAAATCTGGCTACCAGTATTAAAAAACTCTAAAATTACAACAGCAAAACAGCAGAGAGGAAACAACCAGGCACATCTTAACACCTCTCAACAGAACATTTTCCCAGGCTCAGCCAAGCCTTCAAATGCTAATGAAGGTGGTCAGCTGAAACATTCACACCTAGCTTCAGCAGAGAGCTCTTTGCCCCACCCCAGTCATTCCACAGATATATAAACCCATTTTCCTATTTCCAACAGACCTCACTACCTCTGAGGATGCTTGCCATAGATGCAGGCGAAACGTCAGGAGAAATGCCTCTAGAACATGGCCCTATAGCCCGAAAAACCTACAAGAACCTAGTGATTCCAGCCATGAAAGCCTTCGACAATTCATCCCAATAATAATAATAAGAAGAAGAAGAAGAAGAAGAAGAAGAAGAAGAAGAGCAAATTAAATGGCAGAAATACGATCAAGGCTCTCAACACCTGGGCCATCCCTGTCATTAGATACACTGCTGGGATTGTAAACTGGACACAAGCAGAGCTGGATGATCTGGATAGAAAAACAAGAAAACTGATGAGAATCCACTACTCATTACACCTGCGTAGTGATGTCGACAGACTTGACCTGTCCAGAAAATCAGGAGGCAGAGAGAGGGGCTTCTGCAAGTGAAACAAACGGTAGAAGAAGAGAAACATGCACTGGCAGATTATGTGAAAGGCAGTCAAGAACCAACATTGAAGGAAGTCAATGGTAGTAAACTGCTTCAAGTGCAAAAGACAAAGAGGGAATACCATAAACACACAATCCAGAGCAGAAGAGAAAACTGGCAAAAGAAGGCTCTCCATGGACAGTTCCTGGGAAAAATTGAGAGCCAAATTGACAAAGAAAAAACATGGCTGTGGCTCACAAATGGAACTCTGAAAAAGGAGATGGAAGACCTGACTCTGGAAGCCCAAAAACAAGCCATTTGAACCAATGCCATCAAAGCCAGAATTGAAAAGTCAACAACAGATCCCAAATGTAGACTCTG